TGTCCCTGACAGCCTACCAAATAACACATTTAAGGTCCAGAAAATAAGACATTGTTAAAACACTCTATTTGACTACAGTGGATCCACCTAAAAGTTACGAAGGTAGGAGAATACTTTTTATTGGCAAAAAAATAAAAATGACTTAATTAAACTATTAAACTATGAACACAGTGTAGCGCTTCTGGGTTGAATGTCACAACATTGTGTTTACTACATCAACTACGTAAAAGACCAACATGAAAGACAAGAAATTGTTTATTTAATTTGTTATTTTTGGTGTGTTTTTGTTTTATTACACAAAAAAGTATTCCTTTATAACATTATAGTGGAGTCAAATAGACTATTCTAACCATTTATTTAGTTCTGGGCCTTGAATTATGTTCAAAAACATTTACATTTAGTCATTTAACAGACGCTTTTATCCAAAGCGACTTACAAATAAGGACAAGGAAGCAATTTGCACAACTATAAGAGCAACAATGAATAAGTGCTATAGGCAAGTTTCAGGTCTGTAAAGTCTAAGAAGGAAAGTATTAGTAGTATTAGTATTAGTATTTTTATTATTTTTTTGGGTACAGTTAGTGTGATATCCAGAGAGGTAATTGCAGATTAGTAAGTGAAGTGGAGACTAAATAGTTGAGTTTTAGTCGTTTCTTGAAAATAGCGAGTGACTCTGCTGTTCTGATGCAGTTAGGGAGTTCATTCCACTAACTAGGCAGATTGAGCGTGAGCGTTCGCGAAAGTGATTTCTTCCCTCTTTGGGATGGAACCACGAGGCGACGTTCATTCACAGAACGCAAGTTTCTGGAGGGCACATAGATCTGCAGAAGTGAGAGCAGATAAGGAGCAAGGCCAGAAGTCACTTTGTAGGCAAACATCAGAGCTTTGAATTTGATGCGAGCAGCAACTGGCAGCCAGTGCTAACGGACTAATAGCGGAGTGACATGTGCTCGTTTAGGTTCATTGAAGACCACTCGTGCTGCTGCATTCTGGAGTAGCTGAAGAGGCTTGATAGAGTTAGCTGGAAGCCCAGCTAGTAGAGAGTTGCAGTAATCCAGTTTGGAGAGAACAAGAGCTTGAACAAGGAGTTGAGCTGTATGTTCAGATAAGAAGGGTTGGATCTTTCTGATGTTATAGAGTGCGAATCTGCACGATCGAGCACTTCTAGAAATGTGGTCAGAGAAGTTTAGTTGGTCATCAATCGTTACTCCAAGGCTTTTCACCATTTTGGATGCAGTAATGGTTGCCCCATCCATCTGGATTGAAAAGTTATGGTGTAGAGTCTGGTTGGCAGAAACTACAAGCATTTCCGTTTTTGCGAGGTTCAGCTGAAGATGATGATCTTTCATCCAGTGTGAAATATCCAACAGGCAGGCTGAGATGCGAGCTTTCAGATTTCATCAAAAATATCTTTATTTGTGTTTTAAAGATGAAAGATTAACTACTTAATTGTAAAGTTAATGCCATCGGTTTAACCAAGAGAAAAAACTGGATGTTGTTTTTAGAAATGCAGATGGTATTGGAGAGGGGGCAGCAGATGAGGGTTGTCCCACGAGAGAGTTTCTAACTTTGATAATAAAGGACTTTCATTCCTTTTAAATTTTTGATGGTCCTCACTGGCAGAAGACTCTTTCATGCAATTTGAAAGGTGATTTAGGTCCAAGGTTTCAAATGTGTAATTTATAATATATCATAATATAATATGGGATATATCAGCACAGCTGTAAATACAGTTTTTTTCAAGTGTGCAACCTGCACAAGACATTGAAGAGATAGTCGACTACGAGTTCAGAGAGAAGATGAAGGCGATAAGATTTTTGCAATCCTTTTAAAAATGACTAATGCCCATATTAAAGACATTTTGTGCAGTTGGTAGTATAAACTCTATTTTAATCATGATTTTAGCAGTTGATACAGTAGTTTCTGCATTGTACATATGTGTAGATCAGCAGTAACACCTGAATGTTTAAAAAACATCCGCCACCCCATGCACCATTGAATTTCTTTGTTTTAGTTATCCACACTTAACCTGCCTATTGTCAACATATTCTCCACTTTTTCCCTACATACTTTTTTTATATTTTGTATCTTAATGTTCACCCTCACAGTTCATAAAAAGTACTGTTTTGATAGTTGCAGAATTATGATAATTTTAAGTTAATGCTGATGAAGAGAGAACTTGTCATGGATAGATTGAGATAGCTTTTAGATTCAATCAGCACAGAATGTTGATGATGCTAGGAAGGCCATTACAGGAGCTGCTAACAAACTGGCAATGTTGGGGTCACTTCGGCATATACAGACCTTAGAAGACAGAGATGATGTGGTAGCAGCAACAAACTTCTTGCTGGAGAGAAGGTTGAGGGTATGGAACAAAATCAATGCCTAAAGTATTGAAATAAAAAGCTTGTCGAATTACACTAACTGAAAAAAATAATGCATTGAATTAACAAGTGCTTGCTTTTTAATGACATGAATTGCCAGGGTTTGTATTTTTATGTCCCGAAATTTAATATGGCTGTTTATTTGAGCTGTGAATATTTCAACTAAAAATATTTTGCACACATTTTTATACTTAAATTCAATAGTTCATAATTCACCATTCAGAATTCAATTCCAAAACATTCAGTTCTGTTTAAAAATACGATATATATTATTCAAAATGCAATTTTCAGTGCATTTTATTTCAGTTCAAAAATTCGCTTCCATAAATTCAGTGGTTCAAATTCGACTGTTGAAATTCGACATTACATCCGGGAACTGCAGGAAAAGCAATGGATTACGGATCCAAGATCACTCTGCTGTTAGACGTCCTCGACAGCAGGTGGTGCTAGAGGCAGTTATTTCTTCATCAACAAGCAAACGCAAGACGACGTGTTAATGGGCGAAGATGGACCAAGAGGTGAGTTTATTATCAGCACAAACAGTGTTTGTTGTTGTATGTAGTTTTAGTGCAGTGTAAAGTCTGACTTGAAGGCATTACAGTTTACCGGAAGCCGATTGAGCTGGCTGACTGAAAATCAAGGTCAGTCTGTATATACCCCATTAATACAAATAGAGTAAGTTACATGCATTAGTATGGAGCTTCAACTATATGCAGTTACAAAATCGTCACGTCTGTTTTCCTTAAAAATAGACGATCTTCATTGCCTGATAAATTGCATAAATAAAGTGGGTCTCATAATGTACAAGAAGCATAGCATAAATAAACACATAAATTCAGTTTTCCTGTGCCATGTCTTTAAACTATGAACATTTATTTTACTCCAGTATTTTCAATAGTGTCTGCGCTAGCCAGCTAATCCTGACAGCCTGTGTTTTTTGTCTCCTTTTATGCTTTAACAACTAAATGAATGCTTATGTCTATTAAATGGAATGTATTGTAATCACATTACAACATCGATGCTGTAAGGAACCTTATAAAATTGAAAAAAGTCCTATGAACCGTTCACTGGAAGTTTATGAGTATGGGAAGAAACACTAGCTGTGCACCCTAAAGCATACTTTCTGCCCCTTTCTATTGATGTTCTTTCGCTCCTACAAAAAAAAGTCAAATTTCACATGCAATTCAGTAAAATCCTGTAATTTGCGCACCCAAACCGTCAAATGCACACAAAATGTGTAATTAAATGCTGCCCTTTATTATTATTTATATTGATATTCTTTTACTGGGAGCTTAAACATATGACAGATAATGTAGATAACATGCATCAAAGGTATACAATATCATTCAATAGAAATAAAAGTGGGCTTAATAAAAAAAATTATTCACTATGTGAAAATGGCTTAAATACATACAGGAACATTCAGTAAATATTTAATAAAAACATCCAGTAAAATGTAAGTTTGTCTATGGGCTAGGTGTGTGACTAGAGCGCTTAACGAGTTGCAACTTCAGATAACTCATGTAAACAAAATCAAGCAACATTTTTATCAGTTTCACAGCAGGTGCAGCAAATTCTCACAACACAGATTAAAAAAACTTTATTTACAGTGTGCAAAACAGTGTTGTCAAATTAATGTAGTTTTTTTTTTTTTTTTTTTTACAAAATGTTGTGATCTTTTAGCCACAGTAGCTTTTGTAAATATGGCCCACTTATAATAATGTTAAATAATTGTGATTTGTGTTTTTTATGATTTTTGATGTAATCCAGCAGCCCTGTTATTTAACTTTTGTTTGGTTTCGTCAGCAAAGGTGAGGTATTTAACACTCCTTATGTATTTCTCTTTAGCAATTGCTTTTGGATTATGTTTTGCAAAGACTTCGTTCACGTTTGGAAACTGCTATTGGACGCCTACCCCTTGACATGGACTTCCTAGAGTTTATCTGCTCGCAAGAATTGGTCTTTTTAAGTGCTGTATCCAATTCAGTTACCATACCACAGGACATTATGGATGGCATCACAGAACTGCTTGGACTAATTCAGCTCAACCTGTCAAACGAGGAGATACGCACTCCTACTAATGTTCTTCAGGAGTCAGGGTCGATGGGACGGCCACGTCTTGTCATCTCACCAGATTTCATCACCAATCTCTTGGACATAAACTGTTCTGTTCCAACCATTGCTAGCATGATTGGAGTAAGCACACGCACAGTATTTAGGCGAATGTCTGAATGTAACCTTTCTGTTCGGGCACGATATAGTACTCTCACAGATGAAGAATTAGACGATTGTGTGAAAGAATTACAACGTCACATCCCTCACTGTGGATACAGAATGATGAGAGGAGCTCTAAAGGCAAGAGGACACCTAGTCCAGTTTGAACGGGTCAGAGCTTCATTACACCGGGTTGACACACTTGGAGTCCTGTCCCGAATGACACAGATGGGCTGTGTGGTACGAAGGACCTATTCAGTCTCTAGTCCTCGGTCAATAATGCACATTGACACAAATCATAAGTTGATTCGGTAAGTTTGTCATGTTTGTTCAAAGTTATTTGCATATTCCAGTTCTTGCAATTATGTGAGTTTTTAAGACATTTGTATTCTTTTTCTTGATTTAGCTACAATATAGTCATCTTTGGTGGTGTGGATGGCTTTTCACGAAAGGTAGTTCACCAAGTTTATATTAATAATGTACATTGTCATTTTTTACAGTTATTTCTCTTTTAACAGATAATGTACCTTGGAGCTGCCACTAATAACCTCGCAGCAACTACCTTGGATTTTTTTCAGGAAGCAGTAGAGACATTTGGCTTTCCTCTCAGGTACATTTAAGTTCATTAAAGAAATTGTTACTTTTTTTTTTTTTTTTTTTTACATTAAGTAAAATGCATGTTGCATATTAATTTGCATATTATGTTAGATTTTTTTGTTGTTTTTTTATTTAGTGGTGCAAACAAATTTCCATAGTATACAATTGGCACACAAAAAAAATCTATCATTCTGTCTTTGTTTACCTGGCCTCCGAATACTCATGAATTTATTACATCAAAAATAATGTTTTTTTCCCCACATTTACTATATTAGAATTTTATATGAAGTGGTAACAGAGAGGCTTGAATTTTATTAAGCGCTGTGCTTTAACTGGCATGTTTTAAGGGTACGAGGTGATCAGGGGGTTGAGAATGTGGATGTGGCTCGCCTTATGTTTACCGTTCGTGGAACTGGAAAGGGCAGCTTCATTTCTGGAAAGAGCATACACAATCAGCGGCAAGTTTCAATTTTTAAATTTTTTTTCATTCTTAGGAATGTTTATAAATTTTTTTAAGAGTTGCACTGTTATGTAAGAATGTGTAAGAATATTACATTTTATTAGCATTTTCCATTCTCTTTAGTATTGAGAGGCTGTGGAGAGACGTCTGGACATCAGTAACAAATGTTTACTATGATGTTTTACATGGTTTGGAAGAAGGTGGCTACCTTGACATTTCTGACCATACTCACCTCTTCTGCTGCCACTATGTATTTCTTCCACGGCTTCAAGATGATCTTAATCTTTTTCGAAACACTTGGGATAATCACACAATACGCACAGAGGGTTGTATGACTCCTAACCAGTTGTGGGTGATGGGAAGCATACGCAGTCCTGTACAAGAATCTGACATAGAGGTATGTTTGATAGAATTTGGCAGTTTAAGGCAACTGAATAGATATTTTTTTATGCCGTTTGTTAATTTCAGAACTGTATGCGGGATTTTGAGACATTAAATTTGCTGTTTTTAGGGATTGAGAATACCCCACATTGACTGGGAAAGTAGTGGCCTGTGTGTTGATGGACACTCCAGCATTGTTGTGCCTCCGACAGGATGTCCCCTGACTGAGGAGCAACTGGTACTGCTCCAAGAAACTATACATCCCAAAAGACCTTCACAGACCTTTGGCTGGGACATATATTTAGCTGCACTTGATTTTTGCCAATCTGTTCTAATGGAATAATTGTGAATTTCATCTTCATCTTGTGGAAATAAAAATGTATACAATCTAGTTACAAATGAACAATACTATATATAACTGAAAAGATGTATGCTTTGGTTTTTATAAATTGGTTTATATAAATATATTGATGAGATCTAGGCTGGAAAATGCCATTTACCTTGTACTAGTACTTGATTGGCATGCTTTGTTTAGTTCTGACTTCTATCATTAGCAATTAAGTAATATTGACTAGAGATGACAATGCCTTAAAATAATAACTATACTGTATATAGAACAAACAACCTGCTAGAAAGAATGTGTAGTTTCTTTTATTATTTCACATCTTGTAGTTGTACTGTGCAAGCACAGTATAAAATCCACTGAATTTATCCAAAACATTTGAAATTCAATTAATAAAACAAGTACTTTTAAGTATTCTGCAGATTTTGACGTTATTAAACAAGCATGAACAATACATTGTGTAACAATGTAAACTTACAAATTGGCTGTAAAATGTATATATAAAAACATCAGCCAATTACTTAAGAACTGCTATATCTTATAGCATAGTAACAATATAAAGACATGAACATTATGCATAAATGTACACAATCAAGCTTAAATGCGCAGTACAGAACTTTAGATCTTTACCAGCATCTTATAATAGTATGTGTAACATACTTGCCAAAAAATTACACATGGCCAAAACCATACTGGCAAGTACCAATGCACATCATTAAGTCACTCACAAAGGACTGGTAATCGGAGTAGTGCCCTGGTATCCTAAGAACGCAGAAGCATGTGGAAGACTTTGGGAGATCACTTTTTACGATTTCGACAACCATATTTTCTTCCATCCGCTCCCATCCAACCCAGAACTTCATGAGGTTTTTTAGGTCCTTGGCAGATGCTAAAGTAACAAAAAAAATTTAAAAGTTATAGAATCAGCAGTAAAATTATTTTTCTTTCATTGTGTAAAGTTGAGAAATGTCAAAATGTTATGAATTTTTTTCTAAATCCAAGCTGGGGAACACGGGTCCTGGAAAGTTTAGCTCTAATAGAAAAAAAAGGTTTATCTGTCTGGAGCCTTTGTAATCCTGAAGATATTGATGGTTCAAATGTTTGATTAGGGTTGGTGCAATGTTAACTAATATTCTTGCATTCATACATCCAAACTTCACAGGCATGAAGGGATAATTCACCCAAAAATGGAAATTGGCATTTCTCATCTCAAATGCTGCAAAAGCATTGTTCATTTTTAGCATGTTAACTAGTTAGCTAATGAATCCTATTAGTGTTGATTAGTGATTTGGATACTCGTATTCTTTAGTAATATATTGCCTTGTTAAAAAAATAAATAAAAACAACTTGAAGGTTACCTTAATCCAACTAAAGTCATAAGTGAACTAAACAGAAATGGAATTAAGACATGTGGAGTATGCATAGTGGAATTATTTAAATAAACATCGCGTTCAGACTATTACCGTCATGTAGGACTTTTCGCCATCTTTTCCCACAAGACCCAATCACGCTGCTGTCGGCAAAGGACCACACAGGCGCACACATCGCAAAATGTATAAGTTTAATAAATTCCATAACACTCTCACCAATCCTTACTCATTATTTGCTATTAGACGCAAATAATGAGTTTGTCACAGGGCATGAATGAAATGTTCATGAGTTAAAGTGAAACTGCCTAACAGCAGTTAAAAGTCAGGCATCCTGCTGATTTTATTCCGCACTTTTTTGTCAGACGGCTCACCGGTCAGGTATACATCCACACTAAAATATCAAGGTGAAAGTCACCATAACTTGCGTGAAATAGACCCAGCTCCCAACCCAACTTTCAGAATAGATTAACGGCCATATTTTTTTTAATCGTGCGATAAAAGTATCTATCTATCTATCTATCTATCTATCTATCTATCTATCTATCTATCTATCTATCTATCTATCTATCTATCTATCTAAATAAAAAAACTGTCAATTGATTAATCTCACTTTTAATCACACTTAAAAAATTATTCACACTTTTTTTAGAAAATTAACCGCGATTAATCTCATTTAAAAGTAATGTAAACGCAAGACAAAAACTATTTAAATTCAAAATATAATTGTTTATAAGAACTTTTGTTTAACTTGTAACAGATTTCTTTATGTAAACAACATACCCACAATAAACCATCAAGATCCTGGCTTGACAGCCATATTAATTACAGAAATAAAAACACAGGCATATTAATGCCATTTGAATTTCAAAACAATCAATGCCAATAAATAAAAAAATGATTTTCAGGTTGGATTCTAAGTGGACTGCAAAAATGCCAAAATAGGCATTGCAGATATGGAAATTGGAAAATAATAATAATAATAAAGTATTGAATACAAACAATTACACTCATTAAAAGTTTTGCTGTGAGTTAAGAACATTAATTATAAAACAGAAACAATTTTGCTCAGTCCTCCTTTACATTCAGACAGTTGCTATAACAGTCCAGTCTGTTGACATTATCGGGGGACAATGTGGTCCGTTTCTTTTGAATGATGTGAGCTGAGAGTGCCAAGCCATCTCCCTGCAATTCTGAACTTTTAGATTTAGTGGCTACGGACAATAGGAAGGTTTGTTGCTGGTAGGTTTCTCGCGCGCACACACACAGACACACACACACTCACAAACACATAACGCACAGAGGTCAGGGCAGCTGGAGCAACTCCCTTCAGATTCAAAACGCATGATCTCTTCATCATATTTGCTTAAACTAAGCATTCTAAAGTATGGCTGTATTAAACAAACATTCTGACACAACGATGCGAAGCAGACGCTTTACAAAACTTTCGTTTATGAAGGAAACACGTCAAACTTAATAAAACATTTGAGGGCGCGAGCTGAAAGGCAGATAAATGCGCTGTCTTTGACTTCATTTACTTGGACACCAATACTCAGATTTTAATATGATTAAGATAATACTCTTATTAAGAGTCTACCATGTCAGCAGCGACTTTTGATTACCTTAAAGAACCACTGAGTCATGAAATGCAAAAGTTTTTCTTTCCGTTCGCCATGCGGTATCTAATTCCATTAAAACAGAAGACGAAAGTTAAAAATGAAAACACCCGAAATTAGATAAGATTCTGCATAGCTCAGTAATGTGACATTAATTGTTTTATACTGAAACTTGCCTACAAAATGTGCTTCCTTGGACTTATCCATATTTCTTTGCATGTTTACCACATGTCGGCCACAACAGGGAAAAAAAAAAAAAAAAAAAAAACTGCAACTTTTTTTTTACGTGTTAAATATTTTAAATTACGCACTAATTTTGACAGCACTAATTTATATATATATATATATATATATATATATATATATATATATATATATATATATAAAACAGTTGTGTCTGGTTCTCAAATCCGATTGGCTGATAGCCCAGCGATATTTTCCAATAACAGCACTGGTCCAGCCTCTCAACCCTTGTTTATCAGTCCACACACATAGTGATAGTAGATTAATAGACTCACTACAGTTTGACAAACTGTACTTTTGAGGCTTTTTAGGTGGGAATGAACTTGTTTATGGACAGAAAAATTAGCAAATTGACTAAAACTACAGCTGATTAAATGATCAATTTTATTTTTATAAAAAGATAAGTGACACTAAGTTGATCTCTCCTTTTCGTATGTTGTAGTGCTGTATTTATACCATAGTAATCTGGTAGTGTTTTCTTTGCTGTGGCTCTTTCAGGGTTAATTATTCTGATCTCCCCATTGCAGAGAAATACTGGGAAATCTCTGTAGACTGATGTCATTTCATGCTGTTTAGCTTTATAAAATTAGAATGTGCGCAAAAATCACTAGTTTTGTCATCACTTTAGACATTACGCTAGAGAATAATTCAAACACTAGCTCTACAGTGACGTTGGTGAATGAGCAGCAGTTTCTGCTGTTCTGGCAGTTATCTCCAGATGTGAATGACAGTAGTTCCTCATTCAAATAGGTTTGAGACTCTGTTTGATTTTCTTTTTTATATACAAGATTATGCCATATAACTGTTGTATAAACGCAATATCACACTCATAGCAGTGCAATATGGCTGTATATCTTAAGTGGTGTAACACCAAGGCACTCAGCCATTGCTGATATACAGCCATATTGCACTGCTACTTGTGGGATATTGCATTTATACGGCAGTTCTGTAGCATAATCATGTATATATATAAAAAAATCAACCAAGTAGAGTCTAAAAACCCTTTTGTATAAGGAACTATTTTTTTTCACCATTCATTCACATCTGCAGCTGACGTCAGAACAGCAGAAACATTTGCTAATTCACCAACATCAATTTAGAGCTAGTGTTTGAATGATTATCAAGCATAGTGTGTAAAGTGATAACAAAACAGTTGATTTTGCTCCCATTTTAAGATTATAAGGCTGAACTTGACATGAAATTCAATAAGTCTACAGAGATATCTTCTTACAGTGTTACAGTCTACAGTATTTCTATGTTGCAATCTGCATATTACAATAGGTAACCTTGAAAAAAGCAGCCCAAATCCCTACCAGACTGACGTTGTGTTTGCGATAATGAAAAATGATGAACAGATGCAGGCATTTTTCTTTCTTTTTGCCAACACAACACATATTCCTGATATGGGAATGACATCTCACACTCAATACACTGGATATATATGGTATAACTCAGTATAAATACAGCACAACAACATAAAAAAGAAAGAGATCGACTTAGAATATTACTTAAAAGCATACCTGCCAACATTTGTCTCCGATAGGAAAGTAACTGTACTATGGTGTTAGTAACTGTATTAAGCACCAGGTTTAGGGTGGCTGCTGCGAGCGGAAACTGTAAAATTGGTCTGAAATACAGGAGGATCCTGGGAAAAACGGGAGTCTTGGCAGGTATGCTTGCCAGTTTAATAATGATTTGATTAGCTGTAGTTAGAAATTAGGCTGTTTTAATCTTCTAAGGGCTTATTATCTGGTCCTGTCGCCGTCTTGTGGATAGACAACGTCAACCATCTTAGGTCACCTTAATGGCAGGCTAAAGCCTGCTTTATACTTCCGCGTCAAGGGACCGGCGTAACCAACGGCGCATGCAACGCACGTAACTGTGCATTTATACTTCTGCGGCGCTGTCTCTGTTGGTCTGCATTAACACTTCCAAAACGCTAGTTGGCAGTGAGGTGTTAATGTGTCTCTGTGTCAAGTTTCTTCGCCTGT